GGGGAATGTAATTCAAGTAACAATAATTTCAATTACAATTTCAATGGACGTAATAAATCAATGAAATGTAAAAACACTGCTTTTTCCAGCATTTTTTAAAATTTGAACACGAATTACAGCGAAACGGCTAAAACCACAGTAATATATCGATAGTTTTTAGATTCCCCAAATATTCAGCTTTCATATGCATCTTTTGGATTAATTCTATGTATTATAGTTTTCGAGTAAATCAATGAAATGTAAAATCACTGCATTTTCGAGCATTTTTTAAATAAATAATTTCTTGTTTCTATGTTGGCGTCATGTTTCGTGGTGATTAATTATTTTCAAAGTTGGTTAAAACTGTTTTGCAGTTATTGATTTTGTGTCGCAAGTTGCATACCTGTTGGTTGAGGCCAGTAAAAACAAAATAATAAACACGGCGTGCGGTTTTGAGGTTATTCCTGCAGGAAGAATTTCAAAGTGTTATAACTTGTGTTAAAATCGTAAAAGAAGTTTATCTGGAACAATGGGTAAGAATCAGAAGCACAAGAAGATGTTGAAGTCGGAGAAGGCTAAGGTGAAGATGCGCGTCAAGTCAGAGAAGACCAAGTTCCTGCCGAAGGGCTTGAACGTTACCAAGACTGACTTCAAAGTTAAGGCAATCGTTTTGCCTGAACAGCTTAAATCTCACGGTGGCTCCGAGCTGCTCAGCAAAAGGAAACTCAATGTCAAAGTGAGTATTTTAATTTTGTATTTCGAACGTTTAAATTATCATAATATTTTAGGATATTTTATCTAGATTGAATCATCACAATGTCTCTGTGAAGAACGACTGCTGCGAGGAGTTGAAGCAAGTGATGGTTTACCATATCGAAGAGATTGTGGATCAATATTTATCACAGATATTGCACGGAGTGACTCCTCTGATTCTTGATAAAGAGAAGAAAGTTAGGGTGAACGCTATCAAGATTTTAGATACCATCCTCGAGAAGGCTGAAGGAACGAAATTCGTACCTTTCTTCCAAATCCTCGCCTCGTACCTCCGTTGCTCCATGACCAATATCGATAAAAACATACAAGAAGATTCTCTACTCTTTCTGGACAGTTTATTGAAGTACGTTCCCCATTTGGTGGCTGAGAACAGGGAGAAGATTCTCCCCAATCTGTTCTCACTGATTTCGAAATTCCGCAACGATTCCAAGAACATGGGCAGAACGCTTACAATCAATTTGGGAAGCAAAATCACTGCAGTCAAGTGGAGGATCCAAGTGTTGAGTCGCCTGAATTCGTTTCTTTCTGCAGTGTTGAGCGCAGAAAAGCAGACGAACACTAAGGGAACTTGGTGAGTTTTAACTTTGAAGATCATTATTTCAATTTGATTTTTGCAAATTTCAGTCAGGAAATTGTAATAAACGCTGGAGATTCTTCCCGAATCCCGATTCACGTTAATCCGTACAAAAGGAATTGTTTGGAGTTGAGATTGGCCGACGATGAGGGTAGAGGTGACGAAGAAAAGGAGGATGCAATCATGAAGAACATGAAAGTGTTGATGGGTTTACTGTACGAGGTTTGGCTCGAAGTCATTCCGGATAGATCAATGGAAACTGGTTTGTTGAATCATCAAAATCTTTAATAACTAATTTCATTGATTTTCTTCAACAGAGAACACACTTTTGACCTCCGACACCGCCGCAGTTCTCGGTTGCATCTTAAACATCTTGTACTTGCAATTGGATTACTGCAAAAGGAAATCTCCTGCGGATTACGTAAGTTTAAATAATTTCAACGATTATTTCAATTAAATTATTTATGTTTTATGTAGAAAAAGGAATTTTGCACCACGGATTATCAGAATTTCATGAAGAGCGTTTTATCGCAGTTTCCGTTCAGCCAGCCGAGCGATGGAAAGAAAAGGATTTCGAAAGGCTTGGACAGTTCTTCGGTGGATCCAAAATGCGTTAAAGAGAATTTAACAGTTTGCTATCTCTTCGCTTCACTTAACCACAACTTGTCTCCAGTCCAAGTGACGCACGCACAGAATCTATTGAACTACTTCACCAGTAAGATCAACTCAATTCGTTGAACCAACAACTTAATAATCTAATCCGATAATTTGTTTTGCTTTAGCTTGTCTGGTTACAAGAGGTTACATGCACGACAGCTCTTCGACTTTGTTGGTCGAATTGGTTAGCACTATACTTTTAAAGAACGCCAACAGCTGGAGTCGAACTCAGGACATTGAGGATGTGCTGAAGAAGACGCTAAACTTCCACGATTTCCTAGCGCATAGTCTGAAAGTCAAAGACGAATTGTTCGATACGCTTTGCGACGTTACCACGATTCCTCTCTTGAACAGAACCGAGTGCTACCAAAAGTGGTTGAGCAATCTCCCTCTGATTCTAACAACGAGAAAAACGATATCGTCGAAGATGCTGGATAAACTACTGTTAATCGCCAAGCAAGGTAACACTCTCTTCTTGAGCGCTCTCGAAGAAAACGTTAATTCCATACTGAGTAAGTCATAATCTAACGCCACACCACTAAATGCAAATATTCACAATTATCTTCTTTTTTTTTGTTACTCAGAAAATTTCTCCACTATACAAGTGGAAGGTAAACCAAACAAGATGCACATCCTTTATTTATTCTATTACATCAAAGACTTGAATCTGGTGGAGAGGGATCATCTGAGGAGTTTCAAGAGCGACTGCGAGATGATTTACAAACCGACCGTCGATTACATCTTATGTAAGTGAAAGAAGTGGTAAATTTGTAGATGTGCTGTAGACGAAATTTATTTATTTATATAAAAGAAAAATATGAATAATCGCAAACAGGGTGTTTATTGCATAATCCAAAAAAAAAAGACGTATTTTTTGGTACGAGATGTAAATGTGTTTCTTTTCTTGTTTTTCCCTTCTGTTCATCGATGTGAATTTATTTTATTTATTGAGCGTTATTAAGCGGGAGATGTTTAATATAAGCCAAATAAAGAAAAATTCTAATTACAAACAAACCCAATTAATAATTACTTAGGCAACCCAATTTGCTGTTTTTAATTACAATTTGTTAATTGTTTCGAAAGTTGGTATTAGTTGGTAAAGTGGCGTCGGTTTACTGTTGTTTCTTTCCGAGATATTTTTTAGAAAATTGTTGTGGTTTTTCAATGGGAATTTGTTAAGATTCATTTTTAGGTAAGTTTTTTTTTTAAACTAATATATCTACATTTGAATCGATGAATTGAAGTTTGAAGCGTTTTGTGTGAACGCAAAACTTTTGATTGATTTATAATTTTGTCTCTATTGTTTTATTTGTTTCAATGCTGCCAACCAACAATGAAATTTAAATAATTTGGTTTTGTTACCAAATACTTAGGCAACCCAGTTTGTTGTTTTTAATTGCAATTGGTTAATTGTTTCGAAAGTTGGTATTAGTTGGTAAAGTGGCGTCGGTTTACTGTTGTTTCTTTCCGTGATAAAAATTTTTGAGGTTTTTCAATGGGAATTTGTTAGGTAAGTTTTTTTTTTTAAACTATATTTGAATCGATTAATTTAAGCAAATTCGTTTCGATCTTCAAATTAAAAGTTTGAAGCGTTTTGTGTGAATGCAAAACTTTTGATTGATTTATAATTGTCTCTATTGTTTTATTTGTTTCAATAGTGCCAACAATTAAATTCAAATAATTTGGTTTTGTTTCCAAATATGTTAAGAGGGAAATCTATCTAAATTTATTACATTTTTTTTATAATTAAATTTTCGTTTCCTCACAATTTTGAGTTAATTTTTATAAGCTTCTTCAATTCCCTTCGCAAGATTTTCCCGGTCGGATTCTTCGGTATAGCATTCACGAATACGACTCCTCCGTGCAGGTGTTTCGCTGTAGAAACTTTACCTTTCACGAAATCCTTAACCTCTTTCTCATCAACAACTGCACCCGGTTTCTTCACCACGAAAGCCATGGGTTTCTCGCCAACCCTTTCATCTGGGTATCCTATGACCCCAGCATCGGCTATCTTCGGATGAGTCAGCAACAAAGCTTCCAATTCAGCTGGGGCCACTTGGAACCCTTTGTACTTGATCAGCTCTTTAAGACGGTCTACAATGTAAAAGTATTCATCCTCATCGTAGTAACCGACGTCTCCGGTTAGCAACCATCCGTCACTTGTTAATGTAGCCTTGGTTGCCTCCTCGTTGCGATAGTAACCCTTCATAATCGAACCTCCTTTAATGCAGATCTCTCCCAATTGATTAGGTCCGAGCGCTTTTCCTGTTTCCGTGTCGCGGATCTTCACGCAAGTACCGGAAAGTACTTGACCGCAGGAGCCGAATCGGGTAGATCCCGTAGGAGAATGCATCACACCCAAAGTCGCTTCCGTCAATCCGTAAGCTTGTTTCACAGTTTTTATATTCAATCTTCAAAAATTATTTAATTAATTAACCAAATTACTTAATCTGAATATTTATATAACCTTTTAATGACTTCCTGCGCTAAGGATTTACTGAGCGGAGCGGCGCCGCAGCCGATTTCCTCTAAATTCAATTTATATTGACTCACTCTCGGGCTTTTGGCTAGAAGGACCATAAGCGGAGGGACCACCGCAATAGCCCTGATCTGGTACTTTTCCAAACTTTCCAGGTAAAGAATTTCATCGAACTTTTCAAGAAATTTGATCGATTTCGCATCCATCATCGAAATTATACTTAGCATGAAACCGAACGCGTGGTAGAAAGGCACCACCACGAATCGGTTATCGTCTAACAACTGATACCGTGGATCTCTACAAAAAAAAGAAATTTAACTTGTAACAAAATCCAAAATTGAATCGCTTACGTGACGTGATTGTATTTGAAATTAATGTTTTGGTGCGTTATCATAACACCTTTCGATAACCCAGTGGTACCTGAGGAATACAATATAGCAGCCACAGTTTCTTCAACATCCAAATCAATCGGTTTAAAACTCTTTCCATCTTCCTTAATAACAACATCGAGATCTTCGAGCGCTAACACTTTGCGTAAATATTGTACGCTGCGTTTCGCTTCGAGTTTTTGGAAAGCGCTCAACGTTGCCTTCGAACAAAACGCGATCTTCGGCTCTGCTAAATCAAGCGCGTGCTGCAATTCATCTTCGAAACAAATTTAAAATATACAATTTTTTGTAATTATTTTAAACTTACTTTCAGCGTACGTGTGATTGATGGTTGCTACGGTGATACCGGTAAAGAAGGCAGCCAATACCGGTTTGAAGAAGTGCACGCTGTTCTCGCTGCAAACTGAGATCACGTCGCCCGGTCCGAGGCCGCAGCTTCCGAAATACTCGGCGAGTCTGCAAGAGGACGCCAGCAGTTCTCCGTACGTAACCTTTAGGTCATTCGTCAGATCAATCTAATGATGAAAAATATCCCGATATAACAAAAACATCGCTCTCTTTTCAATCAATATATTGTACAAATGCGCTCACCAATTCCAGATCAGCGTTAGCTTTCAGCGTTTTGTAAAGGTGCAAACCGACGGAGATCTTCGATATTTCACCGTAAACCACCGGCCCACAAATAACGTTGTTCATCTCAGACATTTTACTATGCAAATGGTCTTCGTCTTCATTAATTTTATAATGAAAAGATAAGCGCGCTTTATCGTCGGTCGTTTACGCTTCTTTTATTTGCATTTCCACACTAACACACTTATATAGTACTTAAATCATCGTTTTCTTCATAATTTATATTTTATCGAATATTTGCATATTATTTAAATTGTAATCAATCGATTTCATAATTTCAATCACTTGAAACAAAAATTGAATAGATTAAAAACTATTTTTTTTTTATTCATCAATTACAGAACTGTTATCTTATAATATATTTGGACGATCACGCAAATTGATTGAACTGATTTTATTATTTTTATAATTTCGGATTCATTTTCAGCATTTGTCGGAGATCCTTGCGCAGGAGTTTTCCGCTCGCGTTCTTCGGCAATGCCTCCAGGAACTTCACTCCTCCGTGCAGTTGCTTAGCAACGGAAATGTTATCTGCAAATTGAAATGGTTACTATTTACCGTTGCGCTTAGTTACTTCGTAATATTTTTTTTACTCTTGACGTATTCGACGACTTCTTGCGATGTTAACTCGCTGCCCGGTTTCTTCACGACGAAAGCGACCGGTACTTCTCCTGCCAAGAAATTGTTCAATCCCACGACTCCGGCGTCCACAATCTTCGGATGTCTGAGCAACAGACCCTCCAATTCGGAGGGAGCCACTTGAAAGCCCTTGTACTTGATCAAATCTTTCAATCTATCCACCAAGTAAAAGTATTTATCCTCGTCGTAGTACGCCATGTCTCCGGTCAACAACCAACCGTCTTTGGTGAAGGCATCTCTCGTTGCACGTTCGTTGCCATAGTAACCTTTGGTAACGTTCATCCCCTTGACGCAAATCTCACCGATCTCGTTCGTTCCCAGCGTTTTACCCGTTCTCGGATCGCGGATTTTAACGCTGATTCCCGGCATCACGACGCCGCAAGAACCTGACTTTGTCCTCTCCTTCGGCGTGCTCAGTACACCTAACGTAGCCTCCGTCAAGCCGTATGCTTGCCTCACGACTTTCGCCTTCAACCTAAATGCAATTGATTCATCATCTCCAAATTAAAAAAAAAGTTTATAATTACCTCCGTTTAACTTCATCCTCTAGGGTTTTGCTCAACGGAGCGGAAGAACTCAAGACCTCTTCTATACTGAACTTGTACTGATCCACAGCCGGACTTTTTGCCAACAAAACCATCAGAGACGGAACGGCCGATATGGATTTGATTTTGTAATTGGCCAACGTTTCCAAGTACAGTTTCTCCTGGAACTTCTCCATGAAAAGAACGATGTTTCCTTCAACCAAAGCGGAAATACTGAAGATCAAACCGTAGACGTGATAGAATGGGACGACCACAAAGTTTTGCTCATCTAAAGGCATGTACGAAGGATTCCTGCAAAAAGAAACAACAAATACTAACAACATTTTTAACAAGAATTACCTACAAACTCACACCATGCTATTGAGCACGAAATTGATGTTTGCGTGAGTAACCATGACTCCTTTCGATACACCAGTGGTACCTGATGAATACACTATAGCCGCAGTCGTGTCAGCAGAATCAAAATCAACAGGATTGAAATTTCCAGAGTATTCTTGCACAACATCGTACAGATCTTCCAAAACGAACAATTTCAGATTCTGTAATTTTTGGAATTTCGGAAACGTCAGACGAGAGCAGAATAAGATTTTCGGTTTGGCAATATTCAAAGCGTGCTGCAATTCATCTAAAACCATTCATTTTCATCTTCAGTTATTATTATATCAAGATTTGTTACCTTTAACGTAAGTGTGGTTTATCAGGGATGCGACTATCCCAGTGTAAAAACTTGCCAGGAGCGGTTTGTGAAAGTGCAAACTGTTTTCGCTGCAGATGGTGATCACATCGCCTCTTCCCAAACCCAAAGCAACGAGGAAATTAGCAATTTTGCAAGAGGAATTGTGCAGATCCGCAAAACTGATGCAGCTTTTATCCGTCACGTTGATCTGAAAGTTATGAGATATGGAAAATATCGATTCGAGAGAGAAAATCTTTTGAGACTTACGATTTTCTGGTTGGGATGAGCCTTTAGAGATTTCCATATCTGTTGACCGACGGAAATCTTCGCCAATTCGCCGGTAATTTCCGGTCCGTGAATAATCCTATCATCCATGGTAAAGATCTCTGCGTTTCGCGACAACTATTAAAATTGATGATAGCATAAATCATTATAAAGGTGAGACACAACTAATAAAAATGTTCCATCAAAGTGTGCGCGCGCGATTTCTTTTTATTGTTTTTCTTTTCTTCTTTCTAATAATATTCAGTCTACCCAAGAAGATAAGATTACTGAAGATGATAAGATATTTTTAATCATTGAATACAAAGTGTGTAGGATTTTTGTTTAATCAAGTATGTTATTTTTGTTTCTTTATTGATTACAGCTACATTTCTGGTTTCGGAAATTTATCTATAATCTAGACTGTCTTGTTTGACTTTGTCGAGAAACTTGAGAAATTCACTTGTTTTTTTGTTTTTATAAAGAACAATTTCCATGGAAACAACAATTTTCATTAAATGCAACAGTTTCTTCGTAATCAAAGTTTAGGTTTGTCGGGTATTCGAATTGAGAGTTAATCAAGTCGCGGTAAATGAATATATATGTTGATTGGTGATTTGGAATTGAGAGTGTGAATTGTTTATTTAAAATTAATCCAAGTTTACAAATTAACAAAATGCGATTAATCAATAAATATAGTATTTCTTATTATTAAGTTATTAAGTAAAACAATAATTAGAGTTTAGATTTTGTCTTCTGTTTCAGCAATTCGCGAAGTTCTCTGCGCAGAATTTTCCCGCTCGCGTTCTTCGGTATTTTCTCGATGAAGCGGACACCGCCGTGAAGACGTTTCGGGTGTGAAACTTGCTCTGGAAAAGAAAAAGAAAATTATTAATAATTATATGTATATTATTTTTTAGGTGGTTTTTTAGAAACGTACTCGCTATGAAGGTTTTGATCTCTTCATCAGTAACATGCACACCGTGCTGTTTGACAACGAAAGCGACCGGAAGTTCTCCGGCTTTTTCATCCGGTAAACCGACGACTGCAGCGTCCAAGATCTTCGGGTGAGTGAACAGAAGATCTTCGAGTTCTGCGGGAGCTACCTGGAAACCTTTGTATTTGATCAATTCCTTGAGTCTGTCGACAACGTAGAAGTATCCGTCCTCGTCGTAGTAGCAAAGATCTCCGGTCAGCAACCAGCCGTCTTTGCTGAAGGTCTGAGCCGTCGCAGCCGGGTTTCCATAGTAACCCAACATGACCATGCCACCTTTGACCTGAAGTTCTCCGACCTTGTTGGGTCCCAGCGATTTCCCGGTTTCCTTATCGACGATCTTCAGCGACATTCCCGGCACGGGTTTTCCGCAGCAACCGTTCTTGTTGTCCCTTCTGGGCATCATGAGAACGGCGAGTGTGGCTTCAGTGAGACCGTACGCTTGTCTCACTCGGGACACCTTGAAACGGTTCTTCACGTCCTGTTCGATTTCCTTACCGAGAGGTGCCGCTCCGGTGGTGATTTCTTGCACGCACGACAAATCGTAATTGTTGAGCAGAGGCGTCTTGGATAAGAACAGGAGGAGCGGCGGAACCAACATCAGAGAATCGATCCTGTGATCTTGGATGGTCTTCAGGAAGAGCTTCTCCTCGAACTTGTTCAACATTACGACCTTTTGTCCCATCGCGAGACAGGAGAGGATCGTGATGAAACCGTAGCCGTGGAAGAACGGAAGGAAACCGAGCTGAGTAATTCCAGGTTTGACATTTTCATATCTAGGATCACTGAAATCGTCACGCATTTAATATATTTGTTTTACCTTTTCTTATAGATAGTTTATTACGTGGCGTGGCACATCCTGATGGAGATGTTGTCGTGGCTCAAAACCACTCCTTTGGGGAGTCCTGTTGTACCGGAAGAGCACAAAATGCAAGCCGGATGCGTTAGCGTATCAACGACTTTAGGTCTGAAGCTGTACTCGTCCAAATACTTGTCAGAGTTTTCATCCAAGAAGCGTTTCAGAGTTTCGGCTCCTTCGTACACTTCATCCGAATCGTCCAACACGATGATCCTCTTCATCCATTGACAATGGGCTTTCGCCTCAACGCATTTCCTCACAGAATTCTTCGAGCAGAACAACACCTTAGGTTTGGAAATTCCCAAAACGTGCAGAAGCTCAGCTACAAACAACAATCATTCATTTAATACTCAATTTAAACTACAAAATAAGTAAGTATTGTTTTCTTAATCTTAAGAACTAATTAGATTTGTAAATTAATTGTCTTCATTTTCAGGATTTACTTGAGATGTAATTGAAGTTGATAGGAGCGACGGTAATTCCATTGTAGAATGCAGCGATAACTGGATAGAAGAAGTTGCAGCTGTTTTCGCTGCAGATGGAGACGATGTCGTCCTGCGTCAATCCGATCCTGTTAAAGGCCTGAGCCAATCTGCACGTCACTTCCAGAAAGTCTTGGTAACTAACAGTTTTCCCGCTAATCGCGTCGACCTTTGCACCAACAACAACAACACATCAACAAATAATTTAGACGAGGTTTGCTTCTAAATGAAAATTCAACTCACCATCGCCGTCTTCTTTGCATTGTTCACGAAATTGTCGTACAGCTGAATGCCCAGACTGTCCGTCGAGACGGGAGCGTGGAAGTTCGGTCCTTGATGCACGTTTCTGTCGAACATTGCTCACAAAAGTTATCGCGTCTTCGCTTAACCGACCACTATTTATATCTTCTCTCATTCCCACTTCATTCTTTATCACTCCTACTCGATTCCCAGAGGATGTTAAAGTTCACCACAACAACGTGCACATCCATTAGGACGATGCATATCATTAAGTAAAATCTCTAATTACATACAATTATCAACGATCGATTTAAATTCAACAAATATTAATATAATAATAAACGTAATTTGTTTTCAAAAGTTATTTTTTTTTTCTCAATTAACGTATTCATTTAAATTCACAATTACGCTTATAAAAAGCATTATAATGTTATTCTCGACACAATCCGTACTTTAAACTTTTAATCTCTTGTTTATTATAACATCTACTTGCTTACGTAAGCTGATAAAACGCGCTCACGACTCAGACATAATAGAATCAAATTTGTTTTCCCAACTAAACAAAGTTTTTGCATTTTAAAAATAAAAAAGACGATTATAATAACATCGTTTATCAATAAAGAAAATACTCATTATATAATTAACGAAGGTTGAGCAACAAAAACCTTATGCAATCTCCATCCAATAATCTTCTTTCGTTATTTATTTTCCTTCTTTTTTATTATGAAACTTACATCAATAACAATCATTAAAAATAACATATAATTTTTCCTTTCGCTTCCCCTCTCTCCACCCTTCCAGAAACAAACTAAACCTATATAAAATCGTTACCATAGCAATACTCTTATTCTTCGGTTACGTCGCGCATAAATGAAATTACATAATCATAGTCAGCTCGGTGCAGAACAAACGTCAAAAAAGAAAAACAACAAAATACATGATAGAGATATGTCAATTTGCCTTTTTATTTTCTCATTTCATTTATTTATTTTTTCTTGTTGACTAAGTGTTTGGAAGTTTTAAGGCACTTAGTGACTTATTTCTTTTCCTGTTTGCTCGGGTTTTCCTCTTATTTGGTTTTTACAGGGTGGAAAAAAAAATGGTTTTCGAGGGATTACACAAACAAATATAAAGTAAACAAACTAAAAAGAAAACAACTAATATTTAAAATATAATAATATAAGAATATATCTATATATGTATATAAAATAATAATAATAATAGAAAAAACATTTTGATAGAAGAGTTCAGTTTGCATTTGCAGTACATATAACATAGTGCCATGGAAACAAACAAAAACAAAACAATAAATCGTGGCGTGGAATTAAACAACAGAAACAAAAGAAATGATTCTTCTGATTCAATTTTTTTTTTCATTTTGGCAGCAACGAATTATTAATAACAAAAAAAAAAACAAAAGAGGAGCAATCATTTCCATTTCCACCGATCATCATCTAGTGTATTATATTGCGCAATTAGTTTAATTAGTGTACGTTGCCCGGGACAACCGATTAATTAATTAATTAATAATAATAAACGATACATTTATTACGAACTAAAATTAGGTTTTCTTTTTCTTTTTTTTTGAGCAACGTCTTTACAATAATTTTCTTATTACTTTACGCATCCTCCATCTAGCAGTTAAACACCTAAACCGTGCGAAACGAAAACAAACGAAGCCCACTAAGAGAAACGAACGTTTTTCTTCGTGAAATTAATAAATTTGAAAAAACATAATTAGTATAAGAAACAATAATTAAGACGCTATCAATAATTAATAAATGTATATATATGTACCAGCATTGCCGAAGATATCACAAAATAGTTACATTTCTTACCAAAACAACAAAAATCGAAACAGCACAGAAAAAACAAACCAATTATTTTCCTTTTTAAATCAACGTGTTTTTTTTTTCGCCCCACATAAACATATGTATTATATATATATATTATAAATTTCTCGTTTGTTTTCTTCTTTCTCGTCCTTCTTCTTCAACTTCTTCTATTCATTCCTTCGCTTCCATTTGGCAAGAACATAATTATTTAGTTTGGCTTCGATGGACACTCCAAAAAATTTAAGGAAATCGAAATCTCAAGCAAACCTCATTAATCGATAATAATTAAAATAAACTAATAATTAATAATAATAAAAAAAAATAGTAAAAAATAAATTAAACCTCCATCACAACGACGGCTTGTCTCAACCGTCGCATATATATATATTTTACATATAAGAATTTCTTTTTTTGTTTTTGTGTTTTGATCTTCAGCTGCGGCACCCGCGGTTCTTCGAAACATTGAAAGTAAATCGTACATCAAAATAAATCAACAACAACTTCGATTGGCAGCATCGTTCCAAACAAACCAAACCGATACGTCGAGTGGGCGGACTTCGGTAGCTTTCGGAGTGGGTATGTATTGAGAGATTGAGATGACGAATAGCAGCAACGGATTGAGAGAGAGGGGGGAGGGGCGTACGTTGATCGGACGAGCTGCGCGTTGATTGATTGCTTGTTGAAGTAGGGGGAGGCGTGGTTTGAGGCGGTCGGGCGTTGTTTTTTTTTGGGGGGGGAGGGCGGTAGGCGTTGCGTGTGTTGTGGGCGTGGCCGATCTCATGACTGGTGCGCCTTGCCGTTGGCCAGAATCGTCGCGTTGTTCACGGCCACCTCAGCTGCTTGTGCAGCCATTTGATGCATACTTTTCTCGATGAAATTTTGGTACACGGGTTTCATGAACTAAAATAAAACACCAATCAAATTACGTGAATATATAAACAAAAACTAAAAATAATTTTGCACACCAGTGCTTCCCGATCGGTTCCACAATTTCAACTTAGATTTAACCGATTGAAAAACATCGAAATGCAAAACAAAACAAAACGTGCAATTATTAACAACGTGATTAAACACACACACACAATTATATAACAATGACATTCAAAATGAGAAACAATCGACGAAGAAAAAAATATATGAGAATGTATGATTATTAGTTTGTTTGTTTTTGAGAAAAATGTAATGGAAAACGATTTTCAAGATCAACATTCAGCATTTATTCAAAAGTGTACTTAAGATACTTACAAAAAATAGTTAATACTTAAACAAAGTCAAACTTATTACTTATTTTCATAATTTAACTAGAATTATACATTTTAATTTTATATATATATTTTTTTTACACTTTACGATTTTAGTCTTTAGTCGTTTATTTGTTACGTTTTTTTTTTCATTCTTTTTGTTTCGCTTTTTGGCATTCATTTATTGCTATAGGAAATTGTTGGGTTCTGCATGCATCGTGCAAACAATCTGACATACTAAAACAAGAAACGACAAAATATTACCATAACAACCAACAACAACATCGAAAAAATACATAGAAAACAAGAATAAAAACAACAAAAAAAAACAAGAACAACGAAAAGAGAATTAAATAAATGCTGAATATTAAAATAAATAAATTGAGAAACGAAATGCAACATAAAATATAGTAAATTTAAAAGATTTATCGACGCAATTTCATCATAAATAACAACAAAAAAAAAAGAAACTTAAGGGTGCAATTTCAGAAATAATAATAATAATAATAAACGATGTTTGTAATGTAATAAATAAAATAGTGGATAACCCAAATACATACGTTTACGTTGTTTTCTCTTTTTAAAGTAAGCATGCTAAAGAAAGAAAGAAACAAAGGGGAGCGATGAGACCACCATTGCACAACGAAAATTAAAGAACACAAGGTATATAAATAAATGTTGTTTAGATATCATCACCATGGAAACACGAAATCCGTTCTAAATGCATGGACTTTATTTGATTTGTGTATTATTACCATGGAAACCTGAATTATTCGAAAACTTAATATGGCAACACCCGTGATTTGTCGACTGTTTTTTGTTATAAATGCATAGGTTATTTGACTTTTCTTTTGATGACCCAACATCCAATATTAATATAATAGATAGAAAAAAATTGAATACCTTATTGTAATATATATATATATATATATATTGCATTTACTTTCTATTTACTTTAAATATCTTTCTCCCAGAATTAGTAATCAGAGTTGCCTTTGATCTGTCGTATTGCGGACAGGACCAGACCGAAAACTCTTTTGGTCATGGGCAACTTGATGCACGTAAATAAAATAGAGAAATCCGATTAGTGAGTATTAGTTTTTAAGTGTGTATATCAAAACAGAACAAACGCGAATTAGACAACTGTTATATCTTTGGTAAAGTTTGTTATTTATAAGCTTATCGGTCTAAGTTGTTGCCTAATTCGTAGAGACACGAGAAATTAAAAATTAATCGAAAGAACAAATTAATTAATATCAATAAATCTCGATGTTCGGGGTTAACTGCAGTCGGCTGGCATAGTTCCTATGCCAGCAGACGAAGAAAACGATCAGTAGGAAAGAGGTTAGTAGTGAAATCAAAAGAAATCTTACGTTTTCCCAGATGAACGTCGCGATTTCGTCCAGCGTCACGCCGAACTCCCGGTAATCGCCGCTGTACCTGCGAATAAATCAACAAAAGGTTATACATTTGATGATGATTGGATGGATGGGTGGAGAGTTATACCTGATGTACGCCCAGAGGCACAGTATGAAGAAGGAGAAACCCATCAGCATGTTCAGAAGATTGGCCACGGCGTAGATGCCCACAAGACCGAACACTCCGGAGAGGATGTAGCAGATGACTGCCATCGCCAGGAAGACGGCCGGCGTCCTCGCCGCTTTGAAGATGTTCTTGCTCTCGTTGTGTGATTTAAACTGCACGAACGTCTCATCCAAATTCTACGCGAACAAGTAGTTTTAGAACTAATTCATTAATATTATTATTAATTATTAACCTTTTCTAGTTGCAATTTGTACTTTTCGCTGAACTCTTCGCCGCCCATCTTCTGCTTGCTGACGAACTGAAGGAGAGCCTTATCTTTGATCCTCCTTGCTCGGAATCCATCAGACTGGTGTTCAGGTAGGGTTTGTTGCCGCCGCACACGTCCTCCATTAAAGCCATGTAAAGATCTTTGGCATCAGCGACGGCTGACAGGTTATTGGCTTCGGCTGTAGCCTAAAAACACACACACAAAATAGCATCAAAGTACACCACACACACACAAAATTTAGGATTAAGATTGAATACTTACGGCAAGCATGGACTTTGGTTCTGGTAATTATTGCCACTAATATGTTAAGGTACGACTTAAAATATTGCACTAAATCCCTGGCTTTGACTTTCTGTCCGTTGATCTGCTTCAGCACTAGGTTCTCGGGCGCCAACAGCATTGGCACTAATATCTGCAGGTTCTGCTTGAATTCGTCAGAA